AGCAGGATTTTTAGATAACATGTTTTATGTTGCATTAGTTTTTCCACATGAGCCTACAGACACACATGTATGTACATATATACATGGCATATATATATAAAATACCATTTATAGGCATTTTATGTATTCTTTCATTATTTCTGAGAATTAGACAGAACAATAGAAGATGGTTGCCTTTTTAAACCTCACATAAGTATCACTATATTTAAAAAGAACAAAAAGAGCAAAAGGAAAAAAAGGATGAAAAATTTGCAGGCACAGTTTGACTTACAAGAATTAGCAGGATAATTTTCTTTATCAGACTAGCAGATAAGTATTTAAAGTTACCAGTGACAGGATGGAAGCATAGCCTACACTTTAGCAAATGACACAACCATCTGATAAGGCGAAAAGCTCACAGATAATTCTTCAGAGGCTCTTTTAAACTTATTTTCATAGCCTGTGGTATCCAGGGACACCATTAGATTTGTTCAGAGTAATTTTCAAAGATGTGTGTGACTTGGAAATAATAGACAGAACTCAATAGCATGACAGTTACTTCCTTGCAATTTTCCACATGTGGGAATCATCATATTCGGAGGTTAATTGGAGTTCTTAAGCATGCAACATCACAGTCTCAAGCTTTTATTCTAAAGGGGTTTTTTTCCTGTAAATACACCAATGCTTTCATGAGCAATAAGCAAGCCTTTTGTTTTTAAATGCAGATTTCTATTTGGTTACTTAACTCTTATTTCTATTTCTGCAACTTCTAAATTCATCTGCCTCCTCATCCAGATCATTAAGAGAGGTATTGAAATAGCCAGCACAAGCAGTAGTCTCCTATACAATTAAAACAATTTTGCACATCAGAAACATTTGGGTAATTCCATTAGCCAATCCAGGCGTAAGCATGCTCATCAGGGCTGATTTCTAGCACCAGGCACTACAAGCACCTGGTGTCTTGAGATCTGAGCACGGTGCACAAGCTCAGTGATCAAGCGCTCTCTGTCTCCAGAAATATATGGTAAAATGCTCTGAGAAAGGGCTTCTATACAAGGGGAAATTAACTGGAAAGGTGGTCGTGGAACAAGTTCTTCATCAATAGATTTCCGCCTGAACATTTTTGACAGCGTCTTTTTCTGACATAGTTTGCTCCACTAAGGAAGTCTCTCATTCTACTTTGGTTAAGAAGCCCCTGTTACTACAATAAGAGTGTCCACGCAGAATCACTTGGAAATTCAAATCACACTTTTGACTCCATATCCTCACTAGGCAGCAAAACCCCAAGTCACTTCCTTTATTATCCAGCAATTAACAACATCGCTGGGCAAACCTTCCCGCCTCTGCTTGGTGGAGCAGCCATGCTTCACTACTCATTATAGGAGACACAGCAGAAAACTCCTGATCCAGGGGCTTGAGTAGGAGTTGGGTGGAAGAACTGTAGCTATTAAAAGCGGCCAGCATCGCTTTTATATGCTGCACACATTTACCCATCTGAAAACCAAGCAGTCCACACTGCTGAATACCTTGAAAATAACAAGAAAAAGCATTTGCTGGGATCCAGACTTTTTTTAAAAAAATATTTTTTAAGAGACAAAGTGGTCTTCTTTTTATGAATTATGTTTAAGTCAAGGTATGAAGGGAAGCTTCCATTCTTCCCACATTTCTCAAGTGCTAAATTAGCAGCCCACTTCCATTGCAAAACCACCAATAGTGCCACGCGCAGGATAAATTCCCTCTTCACCTCAAACAAGAAATATGGCAAAAACACTGGCCATGGAGAGAAATCTTTCGTAGGCACAGGCTTAGAACCAAGCTTCCTATCAAGCACAATAAATAGTTTCTCTCCCTTTTAAACTATGTTCACATGTAAAGCCCCCCTGCAATTTGGCCATCCATTAACACTCTGAATTTAAAACAGTGTGTTTCGTTTCAAATCAGTTACTGGGTAAGGATTTGTTCCTCAGGGTATTTCACAAATGCTTGCTACACAAATCAGTCCATTCTTAAAGACTGGACGTCCCCAGAATACATTAACATTCAAAGCAGGACACTTGCTAATGAACATAACTCTGAAATCAGAGGGTACTTTGGTTAGTTTACAGTAAAGGATAATTACAGCGAGTTAGAGAACAATCTCCCAAGTCACTTGGGGAAGGAGGCAATTAGGAACCAGTGGGCTCGCCTTCACCCCTTAAGGCACAGCAGCTTCCTTGCTTGAAAGGCAAAATAACAAAGGGAGATGATATTTAAGTGATGTCAAAGTATTGCCAAGCATTTTGAAGCAGCTGCTGTGACCAGCTGCTCGGAGAGGGTGGGGTTCTCACAGCAAGGAAGAGGCAGTTTCTGACACAGAGGCACCGTGAGGTTTAGGGTCAGCTTGTCCTGGGGGTTTACTGTAAGGATGGAAGTGGGGCTGGCTCTGATAGCTAGCTAAATCAGCACAGGCTCTGCATGTTGTTCAACAAGAACATGGCAGAGTTTGGACCATTTCCTTTCTTTCCCAGACTACATATTACAGGCAAGCATAAGAAAACAACCAACCACAAAAAACCCCCCAAAACAACAAAAAAAACCCAAACCACCAGACAAGAAACATCCCCCACAGTCCACATTTGTAGTGCCATGCACCTCAAAATTCATTTCATCCTTCTCCAAATAATGCAAGTGTAAAATGTCAACATCACCAATATGAAAGAAAATTTTTGTTATTTATAGAAGTGAAAAGAGAGAACCATATTAAGCTTGTAACAAAATAATTTCTCAACACAGTACAACCCACTGCTTTATGTCACAACACTGCTTCTCCAATGCCTTCAGTTCTTCACATTTGTTACTACAAACAACATAGATGCACTTTGCAGAGTGATGCAGGAGTCTCTGTTACACTCTTCTAAGGTGCTACACACACCTGTGTCCCTTGGGAACGCTTTTGTATATGTTGAACTCCCAGGTGCGTGCAGGAAAACTGCAACGAGCAGTTGCACACTTCCTAAACTGTATTAAAAATGCAAACAAATAACCTCACACTGTTCAACCTCTTAGGCATCTCCTTCCAGTGACCAAACATATAGTAACTGCCAACCCAAAGGCATTTGGGACTAGGAATGAGTCTTCTGATAACAGTATTTATATGTAACAGTAAAAAGATAAGCAACACTGTTCCTGTGTAATTACTTCCTGCAACTCAAATGTTTTTGTCTCCTCACAAAACCATATCTCATTTAGGTGCTTCAGGGATATACCTAGCTTTAAAAAAAGAGTGACATCAGCTAGAGAAACAGCTATTAGAGAACAGAGTTATTATGGGCTCTGTTTACCACAAAAGATCTAGTGCCTTGCATTATAGAAGTTGTGCAAGGTCACATCTGTCTAAGTAATTAAACAGGAACTCAGCAGAGCCACAGAAAGCTATTTTCCCAAGTTTTGTGGAGATCTATCAGGAACTCAGCAGAGCCACAGAAAGCTATTTTCCCAAGTTTTGTGGAGATCTATCTTGAGCCTAGAGAGCCTCTGCAAATGAATTTCTCTTTCCC